TGTACATTCGTTAAGGGTCCAGTTAATATGAGGTAGATTCAAGTCACTAAGAAAAAGCATGTGGGCAGGATGCTGCCCATGTTAGAAATGTGATATGTGATATTTAAGGACAGTTCACAGACAATGGTCTTAGGAATAGCAAGCTCCTGGGTAACTTGGATGTTTTTTAGATGTAGGGACTTTTTATAGAAGACAGCAACACCACCTCCTCTACGGATTTCACGATCTGATCGGTAAAAATGATAGTCTATTACTGTGGTAATGGAGTCAGGGAGAGATGCGTTGAGCCATGTTTCACAGACAAATATAATGTCAAATTTAGCCATATTTAGTAAGACGAGAAATTCAGGTATTTTATTTACAAGCCTTCTTGCATTGAGTAGCTTGCATTTAAGGCCAGTTGTGTTGGAATAGAGGTAGTTAGGGGCGTGCATGCCTAGTTTTGAGTGATGTTGGATTAGATGGGGTGGGATTGGATGTGGAGTTGTGGGTTGTGTGATTTTCTTTTGATGCAATCAGCTCTGTAGTCAATGTATAGGTCCTTTTCTCTATTGTCTTGACGGTTTTTGAGTTCTGCGCGGAGTTCACGGGAGCAGATTCTTTGCAGTATGGATGTCTGGTCTTGAGTGAAGTTTTTTGTGCTTGGGATTAGTTTTTGCAATGGCGTTTATTGTATGAATGAATATGCGTTTGCTGGACTCATTTTTGCATACAACTCTACAAAATCTTGGGGCCACAGAGCCGTCATTGTATTTGCACCCAGGGCCTTCTCTGGTTATTTCAATATCTTCAGGACAGATGTTTGTTGTATTTGAGTTGCTTATGATATCGCGAACTTTGGTGATTCTGGCAGTTGAAGTCCACAAGTCTTAAAAGTTGCCAAGTTTGAGATCCCTGGACTAAGAGATGATATTATGGACTTAAACAAACTAAGGATGATGTAAAAGAGTTGGTATGTGTTTGGCTTGAAGAAATGACAATTTAGAGGCAACATGAGATCAGAGGCAGGTACCTGAAGGTCAACTCAGATGGAGGACGAACGTTATTCTCTATTGGTCCAGAAATTAGAATCCCATCAACCTAAATGTTTCCTATGTTCCAAAACACATACCCATCACATTATTCTCTTCATGGAAACAAAATTATGCAAAACACAAAAAGGGAATAGGAAATCCTAAGAAATTAAACTAATTTGAACCAGCAGCATTCACTATATTTCTCTACATCTTTTTGTTCTTAAAATTGCCCTCTCATCACATCAATGTACAAGTTCATACATAGCCTGTTCAGTAAGAACTATCTGTGGTACAGAATCCACTCATAGCTCTAAAGCTCTTTGTATGGTTGCACTTGAAATAGCTGAATAGGTACATTTCAGCAGAAAAGTGGCCTATCCTTCCATTGCATTCTTTTAGGCTACACTACATCCTGTATAAAGATTTTCAGTGCTTTAGATTTCCTAATTCTATCTGCCTTTTTTCCCCCTGTTGTTTTGTGTTCTTGCTTTTGGGAATACTTTTTCTTTCTATATTTTACTGTTCAGTCTTGTACATTTATGAGTTGGAACATAAGAATTATTAAATAATGTGTATTGTAAGCTATATCTGATCCATCTTTGAGGGAGAAAAGGAAAATCAAACAGGTGTAGTTTATAAACTACAATGATTAATAATTCGGAAAGGTACTTGTTTGCCTTTCATCTTCTTTTTTTTTGATGTAGGTGTGTTGCATCAAAAAGGAGTCCCTCCGTTTGATCCTGAACTTCATAAAATAGTTCATACAAATGATCTATTTTTCTAAAACTATAGCTTTATGTTCCCTGGTGAAGGAAGTCAGAACAGCTCTTTCAAAAATTAAACTTTTTTTAAAAAAAGGGGGGGGGGAATAGTCTTTTGACCAAAAGTGATATAGTATTACCTAACTGACAAGCTCTGTTGGATTATCTAATTATTTTAGAACAGAAATTAATATAAAGATGAGTGGTTAAGTGGCCACTTTTATTCTTTTCCATTGGTATTACAGAAAATCTTGCCTTGTAGTAATTCCCTGCTAATACATCACTCCTCTAATAAATAAAGAGGCTTGGGGTTATCAAAGCAAGGAATGCCAACTGACCCCAAACCAAAGCCAGAAAATCCAAGCCACTTATGTGACCGGAAGGCATGCTCAATAAGTGGACAGAAAGAGGAAGAGAGGGACACGAGCTTGAGCAGAAGGCATGGGCCAACTGCAGATCTTTCTTCTTGGGATGCCACCTGCCAAAAGGAAAGAATAGGCTACACACAAAAAGCCACACACAGATCATAAAACAAAATTTATCTTTAATCTGTAAGTGTCAACAGCAGTAGAAAATATGGAGTGATGGTGAATAGATTAAGGGCAGAGAGGACAGTCTTGAGGTAAATGAGCATAAATAGGCAGTCGTATAGACACTCCCCTGAGGGTTTAGACCCCCTTATCATGGCGTATATGGCATCACCCAATGATGACATGTTAAATATATCAGGAAAGCACCTTGTGCAAAAAGGGGAATAGAAAGGAGAGGAAGAAGGGGGAAAAGAAGAGCAAGAGCAAGATGAGGAAGAGAACGAAGAGGAAGAAACAAATATCCTTACAAAGATGTAAGTAAGGTGCCAGCGTACACCAGAATATATGATATAAAGAAAGCGTCTTTCCATTTTGTCTTTTATATTCATTTCTGAGGCAGAGGAGAGAAAACTTTTTAAAGTACCACTGAAAAATTATTTAATATTTAATTTACCTCACGTCAATACTGCACAACAAAATCCAATAAGTCTGTTTATGCTATGAAGCAAAGCTAAGAATGATTTTTCCCTCTTAAATTAAGAGTATAGATATTTTTATTTAAAAAAAAAAATCAAAATCCTTAGCAAGCCTGGTTGTCTTTTCAAACTGCTTCAAGAGGAGAGTGTGTGAGAGATGCGATGGCAACCTTTTTAGTTCATTTAAAAATTTTACACTGGACTGTACAAGATTTTTTTTCCTTTTTTGATAAACTATTTACATTTTCAGACTTTTAAAACATATTCAAAGCAGCAATAGACACTAGGGTTTTTTTTCCTTTACATGCCCAAATCATTACCAGCCCTGGGCTCAGGTAGGTACCTGCACTTTGTAAAGAATTTGTACAAGAAAATCTACCAGTTTAAAAATGGACTTACGGGGTGTAAGAAGAGTTTGAAAGAACCACCCCCAAGAGAACCAAAGCATAGTACCTTGATATAGGAAACTTCTGAGGTCTCCCCAACAGCTCTACACAAAACTTTACACTTTGAAACAGCAGCTAGCATTGTCAGTCCAGCATGTCAGTGAATTGTGCTGATTAAATTAACATAGAATACAATTTCACAATATACATCACAATGTCAGGAAAGAAAATGGGTTACAGTAAGTAACAGCTTATAAGCTCATCTTAGGGTAATAAAACATTTGTACATGGCAAATACAATAATGGATAGAAATATTTAAACATTCTAACATTTGCTACAGGAGGAGGGGGGGGAGACCTGTGCTTTTGAGAAAGCAAAACACAAATGACAGGAAGACAAACGGAGAATGTGGACTAGCAGTACTGCAATGTGCAGTATACAAACAATTAAATAGTTTGCACATTCCCCAAACTTTTGAGAGCATCAAGGACCTCACTTGGGGTTTTCTAAGAAAGCAGAAGTTATAAAGCAAGCGGATCACTGAACTTCTTTAGAGCTTTCATATTATTATAAACACCAATGGGATAGAGTTTTCTTACAATCATGCTAAAGCCACTCTTCTCTTTACACCAGTGAGCTCCTCTAAATACTTTTCATCAGCTTCCAAAAATTAATTTGGGATGTTATTAAAAAAGGGGGGGTATAAAATCCAATGACAAAGAAATCTAGCTGTTTAAAAAAAAGATCTGTATATTTTTTTCCTTTCTAATATGGGATCACAATACATCAACCATTCACAATATATCAACCATTCAGAGAACAAAGTAGTAAAAGGTAATAGCGGAGAACAGAAAAAAGAAAGCAAAGTAAAATGATTTTGAGAAACAAGAGGACGTAAGTGCTTTTATGTTTTTAAAAACATCAATTGAGGTCACATGTTAGTTTTTTTTAAAGATCATGCTTAAGTGCCAACTTCAGTCTTTAAACATGCATGCAACATTGAGAAGTTCTGAGAGATTTTTTTTTTAAAATTGAAAGTATGAAATACTCTAATACATTCTACTGGCTGTATTTTTGAACAGTTGTTGGCACTGACAATCCTTTCCAGATATACATACTGTTATATATAAGGTTCTGCTGAAGCTTCAGTTTAAAACATGTTTTGGACTTGAATTGAATGGCTTTGTTGTTTCAATATATATGCTGCTGAAAATTCATACTGCTGATATTTCATCTACCTACTCTAAAATAGGGCTTCGTCTTGAATTTTGTTTTTCTCTACTGGATCATTGTCATTTTTTATTGGGAAAATATTTGTAACAAAGTAGAAATTAACAGTCAATAAGATGAAAAGCAGCAGAAGCTACAATCAGAGCAGACTTTAACAATGTATCAAGGGATGCTTGCATTTACAAAATCATTTATTTCATTTACACAATTATTCAAACAATCTTTTTTTCCCAATCTTTTTTTTGCTATCCTTGTAAAACTGGTTTTGTATTTATTGTAAGTAACAATCACACTCATTCATACAGAGTGAACACCAGAGTATAAGTTTTGTCCCATCATAAATCTCACTCTTCCTTCTTATACTGCCTCTTGATGACTATGGGGGATCAGCAAGTGATCCAGGGCTTCCCTCAAAGGATGTATTGGCATACCATCATACATTTATATAACAGAAGAGAGTGGTTGCTACTGAATGGCAAAGCAAATGCACTGCATGTACACTAGTCCTGCCTATGGAGACTTGGAAAATGACTCTGAAAAAGTCCCTGGACTTTGCCAAATACAGCACCTCAGAACTCATTTTTTTCCAACCTTCCAATATAAGCCTGAAAAAAAAAATCCACTGCTGTATGAGTTGCATTAACTTTAATACATGGTCTGTTTAAAGTAGCAGCATCTTTTTTTTTTCAGGGTGAAATGGAAGTATTAACAACAACGAAGAGCTGCTTTCATGAACAGAGAAGGCCAGGCTTACAGGAGTGCAAACAATTCCTTAGTGTTAAAGCATGCAGAGCCATAATGTACATGTTTCAACTCCCAAGCCTAAACTTTCAGTTTTTAAAAATGCCAACAGCATTGCCTAAAGTTTTCTCCAGAAATCTGCTACCTACATTGTTTGGATGGTGGACTAAATGCCTTCATATAAGTCTGCATCTCATACTGTGTATTCTAAGAAATAGACATTGCAGATGCTTTCTGTCCTTTTATAAACCCTGTGATAATGTGTTTCAGTTCTTTAAATTCATGTTAAGTTGAATGCTTTTATTATATCTTCTAAACAACACTCTTCAATTGTCAACTAAAGATGTCAGAAGTTATTTTGTTGAAAGTTAAATATTAAATTTTGTGTTTGCAAAGTACAGTTACTCTAAGAATCTAAGTGCATGGCATCACATTCATTTTAAATAAGCATTATCTTGAGACAATATAAAATTATTACTGCCCTTTTATATTTTAATGAAGAATTATAAATGCTACAGTTCTATTTTGACAAGCCAATACTGTTTCACACCAAACACAGATTTTTTTTAAAAAAAATCTATGTTATATTAACAACTGGTACTACTTATTTTAAAAGGCTGGATTAATGGCTAACTCCTCAAACACACTTGATTATTTATTTGTTTTCTTATTTATTTGCCTTCCTATTGACAACTTTTCTAAGTCACATTGGTTGCTTTCAAAAAAAGAACCAAGAACGTCCATCAGGTTTGCTTGAAGCAAATTACAAGAAAACTGTCTCTTTTACAATCCGTTTTTAAAGTTCGTTTAAATATAGCCTCAATTAAATTGGAGGATAGACCTGAGGGGGAGTTCAATACTTAATCCGATCAGTTCCTATTCAGACTATCTTGACAAAGATGTCAAAGAATTGTGAGAACATATAGCTGATCAAGATACTTCAGTTTAATTGAAATAAATGAGACCTAAGTTTGCCTTGTTCTCTAGAGCTAAATAAGGATGTAAGAAATCATCACTTTTGTCACCTGAACTAGAATCACAGACTGCTAGAATGCCCAAAAGGTGTAATTTGTACTTCATGTCCTATGCACTTATTTGCTAATGAAGAAATACTAAGAATCAACTGGCTATGTTATAATTCTTGAACAAATGTTTTACTGTTCTCCCAAACTATAATGCCACTACTACAGAGTAAATATAAGGTTGTTATTTTATAAGCAGGTTGCAATGTTTGAAGTATTTTGTGTTTATTATATGGGATTCAGATTGAAGGGGGCGCAAGGGAGCCAACTCGCCAGTTTAGCTATAGGTCCACAATACTGCTGCCACACTGCAGGCATAAAATCTACATGAGGTACAGTGATTTGTCAGCATTTAATATGGACCAATGTACACTGATACAGAACAAAAGTAAATACATAACTTATATATAGCTAAGTATCCATGAACAAAAAATAAAATTCTATCTCCTATGTTATATTTACAATTTTTTAAAAAATCTTAAATGAGATGGTGACTACTAAAGAACCTTGTTTTGAGCTCCAATGATGAATTTTAAAAAAGAAAAAAAATATTTTTGGTTCCCAACGATTGTCCTTCCTTAATTTCTATTGATACTTTAGAGCCAGTATAGGCTAATAAATATCATAAACTGATTCTACAGATTTTAAATTCAAAACCTGTCCAATAAGTCATACTCTACCACCTGCTAATTCGTGAAGAGCCAATCAACGTCAAGAACACAGATTTAAGTTACAAATCATCAACACAGATGGAGGACTGGAGCTCAAACAAAGTATTCATACATATAAGAATCTTGCATAAATAAATGAAATAACAAGACATAAAAAAAATGACTCAAATCCGGCAACTGTGAGGCAGGCCCACACGAGTCTAAACAGATGACTTTTGTTCATGTCGGTTTTTTTTTTTTGTACAACAGTTTCACATTAGTTAGAAGTGATAAAAAATACCATTTATATCCAGTGCTTATTACACTTACGAAACAACATCTGTGAGTGTGTGTTTTTGTCGTATGAGTAAAATCAAGTTTCAGTCCTAAAGAACAGTCCTTTGTTCTCTGCCAGCCTGCAGAATATTATTTTGGCATGGTCATAGAATTATAAAAAGAAAATAACTCAGGAAACTAAATGTTTGCCCTTGTGCAAAAATAATTACAAAACATACAATGCTAGCAATACAGCATTCTAGCTATGGAAGAAAAAAAAACACAACCCCAGACATGTAGAATGGAGAGAGATTTATAACAGGAGAAACTTGTAGGAAATTAATAAATAGTCATTCTTTAGGAAATAATGGGTTATCTCCCATCCATGCTACATCTATTAGATCAGTTCAAATTCCTAAGCAATCTCAGAGACAACAAAGGATTTTATTTCAGTACTTTAACTAGATAAAGAGGATTCTCTCACCAGCTAATGATAACAAGTGCCTTTACATCTTGGCTAGACCAGTTTCACTGTCATAACTGTGGGATATGAGAGAAGCATTCATTCAAATAAATAGAAAAGATAAATGATTCTATTGTAGACTGTAGAATGGCTGCCAAATGACTGTGCGTGTATGCAACCACACATATACCCACACACGTGCACACACACAAATGGTCAGTTGGCTTGCTGCATGGATTAAACTCTCCTATTGTAAAGTTGCAGAACTGCCTTCACTTCTAGAAATAATTACTGGAAACTTATAGGTCGTATTTTTTCTTTTTCTGCTAAAACTACAAGATTTGTGATAGCATGACAATAATCTGGCTCGAACTCTGTTAATGTTGCTAATGAAAACACCAGTCTAAAACCCTCTGAAAAGAACTAGGCAAAAAGATACAGTGGTCTCAATCAAAAGACCAAGTCTCTATGTAAACTTCCCATTGCAAACAGAAACAGAGGGAGCCTCATCTGCCATTCTGGGTAATGGAAGCTCTAGGCACAAAGATATGATTGCAATCGTTTAAGTGTAGAAGAACCTAGGTCATATTTCATAAATTTATTACTTGGTGGTTTATCATCTTTGCCATCCTACAAAGTGCTAAAATGCTATTGAAAAACCTGGCACTCTTATCCCCTGAGCAAGCTAATAAGAATATTCCTCCAGTCTTAAGAATGGCATGTCTGTAGAAGGCAGCCCTCTTGACACAATTCACCCTCATATAATTAAATGGTTTGGATGAAACGTACTACATGGAAAGGCAATGGAGAGGCAGCTGCTCCATTTGGATTAATACCTGATATATTTTCTTAATCACCATTAAACATTCACACTGACAATCTGAATGGCATGGAAAAATTTACCCGCCATACCATAAAATGTCTGTGTGAAACTGGTTCTACTTAGAAGGCATATAAAACTGCAATCTTTCTGGTATACATAGCAGTTAGAAATAGTTGTAACTATTGATAGTCAGATATAAAGAAGAAAGCATTTGTATTATTTTCTCTTCAAATCAAAGAATATTCATGCCTTCTACCTTAGGAGTTGGTGAAAACTCTTAAAGAGTTTATAAGTCACTAACCAGGTTTTGTACTTTGAAATACATTAAATGGATCAATTTCAAATTTCAGTGTTAAATACTGACATCCACAAATGGCTGGATGTTTAATTTGGGAATGCTTTATTTTACCTTGCCCTTGGCTCCTTAGAAATCAATATAATGTATAATAAAACTATATATTAGCACTGAAATAAATAAGAATTTAAATTTCTACAGCAGTTTTGATCTAAAGGACCCGGCATAATTCACAAATACTGACCTTGGGGTATAGCTTTACGTTCTTTCATTTTGTTTTTCTTATATGGCAGATAACAAAGTTTTGAAAATTTTCAAATACTGCTGAGCATATACATCTAAATGAGTAAAGTGAAATTATAAGTAGAAGGATGATCTTTGCATCCTTTTCGGTTCTTTAGAATTAATATTCAACACAGATTATCTGCAAGATTTAAAATTTCTATAATATCATCGAAGGATGATTATTATAACAGGAAGATTTCTAAATAGCGGCAGCACTTTACTCTCTGAGAAGAGAAAGACTATGTTGGATTTCTAGGCTATGTACTAGACAAAGGTTAAGATAATCTAATACATAAACTTAACAGAAATAGTTTTAAGCCTTGCACCAGATACTGTGTTAGGCTACAACTTTCATTATGCCTAGCACTGGGCATACTAGGTGGGGAATATATGAAGTGTTGTCTGACAACATACAATAACTCAAGATTAGAAAACAGAAGTACAGTAGGGAAGCCTCACAAATTATCCTAAAAAGAAACAGCAGAGTAGGTAGATATTGTATGCTCTCCTGTATATGATACTGTTCTACTAATAATAGCATTTTTCCAAGTGTTTCTGACATGTAGAAACACATTTCCTCATGTGTGTGTGTGTGTGAGAGAGAGAGAGAGACAGAGAGAGAGAAATAGAGAGTTATTCCTTTCCAATATTAAGTGCCTCATTATTTTTAAGATACCACACACTTTAAGGGGGAAGGGCTCTTTAAAAGAAATAAAAGGCAAACAAATGATAATGCCGTTACAACAGTACATTTGAAAATATTTTTTTACTACATGGCCCCCTGACATTCTGGAATGAATACATTAAGACCAAATGTAATTAAGACTGAATATAAGAATTCAAAGCAAAGGGACAGAGAATGACTTGAAGGTGGACTTATGTTGCTAAGACAGGCCTGTCTTAGCTGGTGATCACTCTGTTGTGCTTACTCAAGTTTCACACTGATGGTACATCAAGAGGCAGAAGCAATGGAACAAGTGCATTGTAGCAATCATATTCACTTTTTAAGCAATATCCTGTCTCCAGATTCCTGAGTAGTTTACAATTTTCTGGAAAAAGTAGGATTTTCTTTTAAGATATATCAGTATTTTTAAAATGCCAAAGGATTGTCTAAGACTTTACAGTGTCTCCCTTAAGACTTTTTTTTAAATATTAAGATTCAGAAGTTAGGAAAGTTTGGCACATCAGAAGGTCAGCTATATCTCAGGAAATAAAAAGGAATTTAGAGACCTTATTTTAAAAAGGATGAGCTAATACAGATAGATGTACATGCTTAGGACTTCTCCTGTTTCATGATAGGAAATTTGTAGGTTTTTTGTTTTGTTTTTCAAAATAATTCAGAATAAAAACACATTCACAATCTGTAGGCTGGCACAGCATACCTGAGTGAGAATGTAAAACCCCCATTAAAACAGTAACTTAAACCTTTTTATCAGCATCCAGGAAGGGGAAAGAATAGACCAAAAAAAGAGAGAGAGAGAGAGAGAGAGAAAGAGAGATAAGACTTGTAAGAGAACAATTGATTCATATCAGTTTTCAAGTCCCAATGTCTGATACTTAATGTCTTCACCTAAATTGTTTAAAAAAGTTCATGAAAATTAGGGAACAATCTGTGTCACACGATAAGAAACATTTAAGACCATTCTGCAGATGTAACTGTAGGAGCCATACATGCATGCAGGCTCATTTTAAGAACTTTTTGTTCAAAAGAAAAGAAAACAAAACAAAGTCAGAGTAATTCAGCAAACATCCTCAGTTGGCAGCGACAGCCTCGTGGGCTTCGTTTTCACTACTATAGTCTGATTTGGGGTCCTCCTCAAAGTCCTCGTACATTTCCATTTCATCTTCCCCATTTATCATTTCATTTCCAGCCAGGCTCCCACTGTCCGTCTTCATGCTGTAAGTGCTCTGAATGACAGGGATGCTGGGCTCAGGACTAGCAGAAGTGCTGGAGCAATCAGATGTCATCTGAGGCGATGGCGTAGTTGTTGCCATAGTAATAGCACCAGGATAGACCACTCCTGTTCCTGTGGCAATTGGAATCTGAGGCTGTTGCCTACAAGGAAACAAAGGTATGTTTGAAAAGTGCTCCCTACCAATTTAAGAAAGGATGCAGCAGTATCCTCTTAACTCTTTATTTTTAAAACACATTGAACAATTTAATCAACACAGACTTATTTATCAGTGCACTGATGATGTCATCTAGTTTGGTAACAAAACATCTGCAAGCAACCAATCAAGCTCAGAGAGCACCAAGGACCCCACAATTCAACCCTGAGTTACAAAGATTCTCTTCTATAAGTATTTATGATGTCTTTTCTTGGTTTTGGTTTGGTTTGAAATCTGAAGGGAACTGTACCCACATTCATTTGATTATGAATGCTAGTGTCCACAATATCCATAATCTAAATAAAACAGGGTCCTAGACCTAGACCTAGACCATGAGGACATATCTTCTCCAACTCCTCAACATAATTTTATTGGGCTTTAATTGCTATATAGTGATATGATGTTCTTAACTGAATATGTAACTGACATATTTGAGTATCTCTTGCTGCAAAGCCAGTCTTCTGTCCCTCTCAGATTGCCTTATTGTCTTAAATGAGGATTATATTCTAATCTTAAATCATATTTCCAATTTTTAATCTAAATTTGAGTTACATAAAAAAATAAAAATTTAACCTCCAGCGTGTTAAGCCATAAGCAGTCAAAATCAATGATCTAGTTTCCTAGATATCTGATATGAGATTTCCATTCAATATTAGAGTCTGAAAATTTGCTCCAGAATTTATTGTTAGAATAATAAATAAAGAATCAATGAAAAGACAGAAGTTCACTAGCAATAACAGGAAGAAGAATAAGTTTCCATAGCAAGCAGTATTTACAGTGGACTTTTTCTTTTTTAAATTGGATATATACCAGTGGAAGAACTCTCAAGTGAGAAGAAAAAAGTTAACCCGTCAGGATTTAATTCTGGTTATTTTAATTAAAGCATATTGTTTGGTATTTTTTTCTAAGGAACATTGGTTAAGCAGCATTACTGTTGCTTAAAATACAGATAGTAATATACAAATTCGGTCCATTCCTATATCTGTTTTAATATTTTGAATTCTCTTTTAAAGATTGATATTCATTAGGTGCAAATTTCTTTTTCTTGTTCCATTATGCAGTTTTCTCAATGAACATTTTTGTAAACAATTGCAATTTATGTGAATGGTTTTGAAATGTATAGATTTTATATATTTTTGATTTGATGATCTGCATCATAAAATTTGATGGGTGAAGATTTCAGGAACTTTCAATTAGATAAAATTGTATTAATCATGAAGTAAATGAATTAATTCTCATCCATATCGTGACAGTAATGAGGAAGTAAATTTTACATTGGTATCAATTTAAAAGCAATGTAATACTAATGAATCCCAGCTAATTCATTGTGGATCAGATTATCATCAATTGTTAATGTCACTACAACGGAGTTGGGTGCGTTTGTGTGTGTGTATGTGTGTGGAAATGGTTAATCATGGGCTAATCTTAATTTAAGGTTAAATCTCAACCCTAAGTAGGAATGGGACAACTGTTGGGAAGAGATGAAATTCACACATTTTGATTATTTTGCTGGAAAAAAAGGGGGGAAAACCTACTCAAATACCTACCCTACGGTAAAAAATTGCCTCATCTCCTGTCGTCGAGACCTCATTAGTTGTTTATATTCTCCAATGCGCAGTTTTTTGCCATCAACAATGCAAGTGCGTTTTGGTCTGGGTTTATATTTGTAATTAGGGTATTTTTCTAGGTGGATTTTACTTAATCGTGCTTGCTCTTCATAATAAGGTTGTTTCTCTTGGTTTGACATGGATTTCCAGCGGGAACCTGCATAGAAAATATATATATATATATAACATCAGTGAATTGTTGAATCTATTCATTTTGGGGGTAATAAACTTCTAAAAAGAAAGTAGGAATCTGGCTATATGATAATTCCAACAATCTCTGACCATTAACCATTATGAATCAGTCTTACTGAAGTTGGTCCAACAATATCAGGCCAAAGATTCTCCAAGCTTGTACTCAATCATAATCCAGAAATTTTTTAAATGCCTTAGCCAAGCCAAATCAAACTAATTGTCATATGTTCTTCTCAAATGTTACCAACCTTTCTCATGCTTCATGCAAGTCACAAGAGCAAAACTAAGGATATTAGCTCTGTCTCCCTCTCCAACCTCATTGTCCTTATGAGCAGGGCAAAATATTAGAGGCAGAAACTTCTTGTAATAGGGGTTACCCTTCAGTGTAGAAGGTAATCTCTACTACAGAACCTCCACTTACACAATAGATGAAACCTTCTCCTTCAGAGTTTCAGCCTGAACATGAGGCAGGTGATAAGAATGAAAATACGGACTGAATGGCATATTGTGATAATTAAATTTCAGAATATGTGAAGAGGAAATAAAACTTTTCAAGTAACTTTATGATGTATTTAAGAATTTTTGTTCCTGTATAAAGCAGTCTTCATAACATATTCAAAGAGATCCGGATTGTTGATCATTCCTCCATACAATCATACCAAAGTGGCTTATTATCAGAACAATCTAATTAATCACTAAACTGGCATCATGAAAAAATAGACAACAAAAATTGAAATGAAATATTTAATTTCTGTGTAGGGTGAAATAAAGAACTCATCATAGTTATGTTAAATGTGATAATATTTAACATAACTACATGCTATCTATCAGGAAATTCTTGGTATATCCTTGAGACAAAGATCAACCCGCCATTACTTCTACTACTCAATTATTAATCTATTAAGAGATAGTATCAGAAAATTTTTAAAGGCTGCATAACTAATACCATCCATCATATTGGATCTGAGGCTTTTTTCTACTAACATTATTCTTCAGTTCTACATTGCAAATATATTTTACATCTAAAGTGACATTTAACTTTTTTTGAAATGGAAGGCTTATAGGATAAGGAAAAAAATACTTATTACTTTTTTAAAATCTCAGTAAACATACCTAAGCCCTTCACTATACTAAAAATATCTGACTTAATTACTTGGTTGATCTTGAAATCAATCCACAGCTTCTGAATATGTATTTCTGAAAGTTAAAAAAAAGTCTTATAAATGTATTAAATGTCATAATCTAAGAGTAAGCAAATTGCATTTTAGAGATGATCCTCTAATCATCTTGGCTTTGATTTAACTTTCTTTGTGACTGATTCAGTGACCCCTCATTATGTAATATATTTATATAAATTATAGGTTAGATTAAGTGTAAATACTTAAAACTTCCATGAAAAGTACACATGCCATATCATTACTAGTTTTAATTTCGACAAAAAATAATCAAACTACATTAATAAAAGAATACCTAACATTAAAGGGTGAAATAGGATATGTTGCTTATACAGAATTACTTAAATAGCAGATATTTCTTTTAAAAGAAAAAACTTTCAGCTGGTTAAAAATGATTACAGCTGTGGTCAACATGGGTGAAAGCTATTGTTTTACTAAAAGCTTTTATACTTCAACAAATGGAAAAAATGTATAAATATTATCCAGAGTCAGCAAAACTCTGTCAACAGTTTTAATATTTTCAACTTTTTTTGTTATTGTCCTGGAAAATGTGTACCAATATTATATGTAAATTGTCACATTTTCTTTCCTCCTCTCTTTTCTTCTTTCTCTGGTGGTGGCAAGGTAATTCCTGGCACATTACATTTCTTTAAAAACATATGATTGCTGGCACCTCTGAAATATTTATACTGAATGTTTACATTTCAATGAATACTCTTACTATACTTGCAACAGGTTTTTTTTTCTTTAAAGAATGCACACAAATAATGTGGACTCCGTATATAGTTGCCAAAACTAAAACAGTACATGTTTTATAGAAAACTGAAAGACTATTCATATGACATACTAAAAACAGTAGACAAACATAAGCACTTCTATGAAAAAAACACCACATTTTTTTAGAACAGTTACTCTTATTTCTAGAGGGTTTTCTGAATAACTCTTAAAGAAAGAAAAAGGCCTATAAAAAAATAGTTTTGTTAAAATGTGTAATAATGTCAAATACATTCAATTCAAATGGTAATTGTTTGTCTATTAGTTAAAATTGCAATCTTCATTTACAATCTTAATTTAAAGACTTGATGGAAAAATATCTGTTTCCCTTCCCAGTCAACCTTAGCGACATTGTAATGCTTCAAACAAATCTTGAATCTTAAGTCTGTAAAAAAATCAATAGATTAATTTTTTTGTGAGATAAAGCCTAACATTCGGTACCTGGAGTTTTAAAAAATGTAAATAAAATATACTTAGGTATTGAATTCTCAAAACATTTCTATTTAACTCTCTTATTGTTTAGATGCTAGGAAAAATGGTTAACATTCAGTTTGAATATCACATTACTGCAGTGATGGGCTGCTACTGGTTTGCACCAGTTCTAGCGAACCAGTAGTTCCGGTGAACAGTTGGCTCCGCCCACCCACCCCTGCCTTTTCCTGTCCTATATTTCCCTGTTTTTAGCTCAGCTGATTCTTGCAACACAGAGGATTGCCACACCTCAGCTGTTTTACTTACCAGTGCTGACACAGAAGGTAAGTTTTTCAGCTTAAAATGGGTGGTTTTTGAATGCTGCGTGCATGGCTCACCAAACCAGTTGTTAAATCAGTTGCAGGCCACCACTGCATTACTGCCGAAGCTATTTATTCATGCTCATTTAAATATATTCCCAGTGTAAAAAATTATTAGACAATTTCCTCTTGCAGAAAGCTCATATTTCTAATTTCCTATGATTTCTTATATATAGGTGCAATAATCTACTGCTAATTATCTCTGTACAACATAATGCTGCTGACAAACAGGTGTATTGCTCTGTTCCATCTAAGAAGACGAGCTATACTAAAGTAACAACGTTTTGTTAGTGAATAATTCTCTGGTTTGGGTAATTCACCTATAGTATTTTTGATGGGACCGTATACTCCCCTAAAAAAATAAGGCATATCTCAGAATTCCTCACAGAACTAAACAGATCAATATAGGTCCAGTGTCAAAAAGCACTTTTTTCTACTTTGAGCTAGATTATAAAACAAGACAAAGCAGTACAAGTATTAAAATATATTAAATCATAAATCTTAGAGATACAACTGAGTGGTGTTATCTTCAATAATTAGTTATACTAAAACCCACAGATATTTGCTTGGCATTAAGTATGGAAAAGGCATCCGTTTTCCCCTCAGAAATGGATCGATTCCAACTGAGATGCTTTGTACATTTGAATTAGTACTTACCAAGAATTTTGCTGATGTTGGAGTTGTGCATGTCAGGAAAAGCTTGAAGAATTTTCCTGCGTTCATCCTTTGCCCAAACCATGAAAGCATTCATTGGTCGTTTGATGTGCGGCTCACTGCTACTTCGTCCCCGGGCATCTCTGTAGACTCGAGCTTCAGCCACAGTAGCACCTCCTGTTGGCCAACAATAATACTGCTGTAGTTTAGCTGCAGAGCCATTCATTGCTTTACTTCCTGTAATGCCAGAGCAGGAAGAAAGGAGATGGATGCCAACATTATTATTATGTTATCTGGATTAGGGATAGTTTCATAGGTCCTTCCCATTTGCTTTTTCCAGAATTATGAATGAATACTAAATTCAACTATCAATTTAATCAATGTTGGTGTTTCTTGGATACTTGCTATCCTTCTCTTGAGCAATGAATGTAACACATTTGTGATACTTGACTGAAATACTGGGATGAGAGACTGATATACTGTACATTTAAAAATAATGTACGGTACATTTACACACAAAAAAGTGATGCAAATAATGATAAAAATGAAGTGCATCATAGGAACAAAATGTAACTGCCGTATACTATAATTATGACAAGACAAAAATTTTAAAAAAACTTTATTTTAGATCACTGACAAATCCTCAGTGACTTTGAAATCTTGATGAAAACTAAACTGGTGGAAATCTGCAAAACACTTTTGATTTTATAGTGTGGACAAATTTTATATTTCATCACTTTTGAATCTATTTTTTTTCAACTACACAGAAACCTAACCCTGCCAACTGTTGTTAAAAAATCAACTGTAGTTTAAGCACACAATTATTTTGATTGTTCTGTACAAGCAATTCATTTTTATGGATAAAATTGTGGAACAGAGGATGCATAACTAATATGCTACCTTTTTGCCAGCATGTCTACAGTACATTAATTTCATTTAAAATGCACTGACCATACAGGATAAATTGATTTCACTTTATATGATGTTGACAGCCATGTTTATTGTGCAGTGAAATGTAGTGTAGCTTCAGGCTGACAATATCCATCAACACAGGGCAATATGTTGACTGCTGGGCCAGATGAAGACATACATTATCCTAGAAGCAAAACACTTACTTATATGTGACACTGTCTTCTCTTAAGGATCACCAGAGTAATTTATGAAGCCGTCAATACCATTACTTTAAAACTGACACCAGTTTTACCACAGCATGCAGATAAAAGACAAGTCTGCTGTGAATGTCAAATGCAATATTTTAACAGTAGCATAAGTTTAACTACTGTGCCATGGCTTTCAACATTTGCTAGCAATAACTATTACCGTAGCCTCTCTATCATAACACCAAGTAGATGGAAATGTATCTGGTATCTAACAAAAAACAGTAGACCCAAAATGGAGTCTTGCTGCAGAAGCTCAATGTGTAATTTTGCACATACAGTGTCTTTAATACCAGCACTCTAACTGGATTTTAGTATCAGGTTTCACTGTTATTTCAAATATGAAAGCACAAACATATTGATATCATTCAGTTTTAAATTCCTAAGTGTGCAGTAGGAATGGATGAGACATTAATTTTGCATGTCTATGTCTGTGCGCATCTGTGTGCATGTGTGTGTGTATGTGAGAAAGAAGAGACAAACTTCAACTATATTTTTTTAACACGCAGAATAAACATTTATGCCTTAATCAGCCAACTTTTAGTGGTTTAATCAACTATCTCAATCAATGTATATTTGGGGATCAGTATCAGGTAAGAGATTCCCCTCCCAGTCCCAAAATGTTGCCTCATCATGGTGGGGCGGGGAGTGTTCTAGGGAGGATGAAGAACATCTGGCATGTACATCAAGAACATATTCTCCCAGCAAGAGGTCATCTCAGCTGTCTAGCAGGCAAGCAGGCAGCTAACTAGAAAGGGATTGGAGATGGATGATCATGTTAGTGACAAGAACAAAGACTTAATTTCATGTTGTACCACAAAAGGCAATGGTAGATCTTTCTTATATTTTATCAAGAAAATGATGTGGATAGAAAATATACAGTTACTGACAATATAGTTCATGATGGTGGGCCTCTGATGGATGATATTCAACTGAAAAAGAGCTTTGTATATTTTACTAATAGTGCTTTTGACACTGGAAAGCCTTCCAGATATGTTGTTGCTAGTGTTGCCAAGCAGAACAAGAAAATCTAAAGGTGCAGAAATATTGAGAACGTGAAACACGAGAATCATAAGCATGGGAAAGTTCAACACAATGAAAGATGGAATTAATCAATTACACATTAACATATCAGATTTCAGTGAACTGAAATGGGCTAGATTGGACATTTTTTCAATCAGAAGATCACACTGAAGAATGTTATTTATTTCATTTTAAGGAAGGACATAGCAAAACCAGTACTGATATGTCAACTCAAGTTTATAAATGAATTAATCATTCAATATGACAATTCTCCAAATTTATAGCAGCAATAAGTAGACTATCGGAAGAGCTGAAGGAATGGGTTGGAAGCAGATCATTTGATCATCCTGAAGAGGTCCCTAAGATATACCAGTTTGATGGTATATAATCAATATAAGATGAAAGTTTATATGTAGAGACTTAATTCAGCCACGTTCATGAAGTAGAACAAATCTATCCTGTTTTGGATGAGATCACAGTCTCTCTGACGCAATGCATTTGCAGACAGGGATTCTGTTGGATTCAGGCCACCCCTAAAAATCTAAGAAATCTATAGTGACACACAGGACTTTTCACAAGCATAGAATTCTAGAACAAACACAATCTTTCCTGAATAGAGATAGCCCATCTTCAGTTATCCATGCCCCAGTAACCTATTTAAACTACTACAATATAGTGGAACTACCTTTAAATCTCTTGAAAACTTGGTAAATTCAAAAATAGTGTTGCTAAGATACTAATTGGGACTGGCTAGTTTGTTAGTTCTTAAAATGGTATCGAGCCAAAAGACTTTGCTGTTACAATGGCGAAAATATTGTTTATACATCTGGCAGCAGGAAAGATTTGTTTTTGCAATAAATTTTGCTAGAATGACAGTTTAGTCTTTTGGTAAGATATACCTATGGCTAGATACACCACCACCCTTCAGCCTGCAATTGTAGTTACCAGACAGCCTGAATCAGCATATGAGAAGCACAAACATCATTTGATTGGAAAAGCAATGCCTCAATTTCTTTAGAAATGTTCTTTATCAAAAACATACTGAAGGCATTGAATTAGTTTATCAGGTTCTTACAATCATCTTGGTCTAATCTTGTGAATCTAATACAAGCAAATGGCCAGAACATATTTCTGCACTTCTGAGCAATCAGTCAGAAATATTTGCTGAAATATAAACTGTAAATTATTTGGAGAGATTATATCCCAAGATACATTTACTAAAGCAAAAGGAGAAGACTTTGCCCTGGCATTTATTTTATCTTAGTGTTCATTTGTTAAGAAACAATTCTTAATCAGAGTTATAAATCACAAGCAGACCAAGAAAATCATGAAACTTCTATCTCCGTCTGTCTTGAGCAAGCCTACACTTGAAAGATTTGGAAGTAAAGCCAGTAAAACCTTGAACTTCTCTATTTGATTTCTAAGTGAATATTTGTGTTTCGGCCTAAGGGCTGCTACAAAAGAATGTGTGTTAAATGAGCTTCTGCAAATAATTAACCATCATGTAATATCCCATACCCTTAAACATCTTACCACTATAGGAAGAAGTTCAGCATATTATAAATGACAAAAAGTGCTTCTGTTTATAATATTTACTATATCACAGATATATTGTTAATTCACTAAGGCCACAGAGATTTAGTTAAAAAGTTAAAAGCATCAATATTTGCGCCTTGCAACCTTGAATCTATTACCCTTAAGAAATAAATTATTTGTAAAATTACAAATAATTGCTACAGCATTTAAACATAAGCCAAAAAGTAAAACAAAAACAAAAACAACTTTCTTTAAAATATGCTTATGGAATTTCAGCAACTTTGCAACTTCTAGTAACTACGGATTGATATATGTTAATCGAGTCTGAAGTCTGCCTAAGTTTATACTAGCTGACATTTATGTATGAAAGAGAATCTACTTGTGCACTGAAATACTCCTCAGATTTTTGTAATATGGTTTGCAACACAAAATGATGTAAATGATATCAAGAAAAAGTCAAAATGGGTTTAATTGGGGAAAGTGTGCAAAAACTACATTAGAAAAGGATGTAATATAATAGTGAGACAGAAATGAGGAACAATTATCAGAAAAAACATCAGTGTTATAGAAAGAAAAAAATTAGTTCAGGCTCAAAAATATGGTGTGTGTGTGTGTGTGTTCCAGTAGCAAACAACAGATCTTATGGCATCTCAGCTGCTTGGAGACCCATATCTGGTCTCTAAAACTTAAATTTGAAACAGAATGCTGAAAATGCATTTGTTGAAGTTTTTCTTTTTAAAAAAAACTACATGCTCGCATTTTATGACAAACAGACTATATGGAAGTATACCATTTCTAATTCAGCTACAAAAGCATAGCTTTCTGAAGTTCAGAAACTACTAGAAACAGATTAAGATTTGGTTCAAAAAAATATAACAGTGCTAGCTGTGGCTCCGCATTATTTTAGATTTCTTTGCTCCTTTTAGCTGAGCCTTTAAATATGGTATCATGGGAATCATGATACCATATTTATAGGCTCCAATTTAAAGAGGTAAAAGTTACCTAAATATTCAAAATGAAGAGTTTTGTGATGCCTTAACAATTATGACTTCTTTTACTGTATACATCTTTATGCCATATTTATATGAAATTTATATAGCACTCTGTGTTTGTGTGTGTGTGTGCGTGTGTGTGTGTGTGCACCCATGTGTGCCTATATACTCAGGTATATATCTTTTTCAGAGCTCTGGTTCACATATATGATGACAAACGTTCATGTGATAATATACAGTATTTGTAATTCAAATGCATTACATTTCCGTGTCCATAGTCCTAGATATAGTCATAGTCCTAGTGTTTTAAATCTTTACCAGTATTTAAGCAAACCATATTAATTTATTTAAAATTTTTAGACTATGGAATATTTGCAGGGCACTGACCTATTAGAATAAGTAAAACTATCATAATAAATATAACAGCAGCAGCATTCATAACAAACTAACATTGGTTGGAAAGAGAAAAGTGTTCCTTTTTCACAGATGCAAAATAGGGAATCTACATTCAAGGCGAAGAATAGAGACA